GACTCCTGTGACTCTTCTACATACTGAGGTGCATCTTGGGGACATTGACTTCCATATGATATCTGCTGTCTTCAATAAGTCTGCTGGGAGACTCATGAGGTCTTTGAGGTAGGGCATTTGGGAGAGTCTAGCTTCACACTGGACACAGGGTGAGGTAGAGAAGACAGCTGGAGCCAAGTGTGATCACCTTGTCCTGTCCTCCAGTCTCTTCTCATGAAAGCATTTGTCTGCTCTATTCCCCACTGCTCTTGGAAGGTTGTTCTGAGCCCCACTTTCCATTGAATCTTGAAGCATTCCAGGGGGTCACTCCTTACCTTGTATCATTCCATCCTCCTGGAAGATTATTCATCCTTTCTATTTATCATATTCACAATTTTTTTTTTGCAATACTGGGGTGTGTAGTCGGGGCCTCTACCTTGAGCCACTCCACCAGCCCTTTTTTTGTGATAGGTTTTTTCGAGATAGGGTCTCTCACACTATTTGCCCAGAATGGCTTCAGACAGAGATCCTTTGTGTCTCATGAGTAGCTAGGTGCACAGGCACGATCCTCCAGCACCTGGCCATATTCACGATTATTTCATACCAGTATGATCACCCTGTTATTACCTGCCTTGGTCTGTTCCCATTTCCCCAATAGCATGAGAAGTTTTTTCCTCTGGTACTTTTTTCTGTGACCCTTGAAGCCACAGGCCCAGAGAATGTCTCAAATGAATGAGTGCTGTAGAATTGACAAAAAGATGTGCTACCAGAGGGAAAGGGGGGAGACACAACTGTCACACAAATCACTCACTCGGTGCCACATGTGCTGTGTGCACTGAAAATTATATCCTTCTACACTGATCATTTATTTGCCAAGATTGAAGGTTAGCAACAGCATAATTGTCACTTGTCCAACTCCACAAGCCTGTCCCCAAACTCAGGCATTTGCAGACAGTTAATTCAACTGTATCAAAATGACAGTAGAAGAGACAACCAGGTCCTGGTCAGTCAAAACTGTGGCCACAGTGGAGCCACAGTGCTGCCAGGACTGCAGACCTACCAGGATAACTCGGCCTGATTACTCACACTTTCTGAGCTTAAGTTTCCTCTGCAAAATAAGTGAGATTGACTGGATGATCTTCTGAGATGTGAGCCTATGCTAGCCTTCTCCTTGACATCTTAAGTTTCCAAGGGACTTGATGCTTGCTTTGGTGGGACATGGTGAGCTCTGTCATCCTTGAGCCAAGAAAAAGATGTTTCTTCAGCGTAGTGCTGTCTGTGCCTTTTCACAAAAATGGGAACCAACAACAACCATATTCTCTACCAAGATCATGGGAATTGCATGCTCTAGTAGGGACAGCCAGAGAAGTAGATCTGTCAGATGCATCATGGCCATGGCCCATCTCCACTGCATGTGACTGCCTGAGCCCAGACCCCTTTTCTCTTGTGCTTCTGGGTACCATAAGTGCCTGTTGGTACCATCAGCATCAATAAAGGGTGATGTCATGGGGCCCAGCATTCTCATGGTGACCAATGATCTTGTTCTCTCTCAGTCCTTTCCAGGTTCCTGCTGAGAGGATGAAACACACTATTAGTGAACATACATGGGGCAAATTCTGTTTCCCTACAAATCCAGATCTGGGTCAGTATAGACCTAGCTGGGACATAGAGGACATACAGGATATGGCTCTCTCATTCCACTGGAATCTGGCCTGAAGCTGAGGGACACACCTGACTTTCACCTGGGCTCCTACTGACCCAGTACTGCTCCTTCCCTGGAGCCTTTAAGCACCACCAATGTTATCTATGGTCTCTACCTCTGGATTTCCCTGTGTCCCTGCTCAGACCATCCCAAATGCACCCTAGGGTTTGTAATCCCTGCCACATTGCCAAGCATCTTGATCTTCTGTTTTCTCAGAGACACAGCAACTGTGAGTTACATGTTTATTTGCTATGGAAATACTGTAGGTGCTGGGAGTGAACAATGACTAGGAACAAAGGGATCCTCATCTGAGATTTTTAGTATTCATTGGGGAGGCTATTAGAGACTATGAAGAATACACAAGTCCCTGGAGGAAGCTCTGGAGGGTGCAGGACCACGGATCATCAAATGGCCCACACAAGGACTTAGAAAAAACAGTTGCGATGTCTAAAGTGACACCTAAGGAATGTGCAGTTATGATTCAGACGAGGAAGCAAGTGGATGAGGGGCTTTTTGGGTAGAGATGACAGTGAGTGCAAAGGATCAGGGAAACAGAGGGCTACACGGTTTAGGGACAACGGTGTTTTCCACTGAGCCTAGTGTCGGGAGCCATCTGACAAGGTCGTTGCAGCTTAGCAGGATCCTGACAAGGTCAGAGACTGCAAGTGCACCATGTCTCTCACTGAGGTTTTGAGGGGACAGGGAGTGGCTCCCTTTGTCTGGAGAAAAGAAACATTAACCTGAAGGTATTTGTTTATGAAAGGTCAGGAACATGTGATATGTACTTAGTAACCAGGCCTGGATTTTGTGTATGTGAAACCAGGTGAAACTAGGTGAAAACAGGGAGGTCTGGGTTTCGTTAGTGAAATTAGGAGGGTCCAGGGTTCATTTAGGAAACCTAGGAGATTGGACCAAGAACATTGTTTTCAGGTAGAGGGCATTGTTTCTTAGGCATAGAAACTTTCTTTGTTTTGTATAACTTCCTACTTTGTACTGCTTATAAGCCTGATGCAAAAATAAAAAATTTGCCAGTTGGTCATCAGCCTTCTGGCCCTTTCAATATGTGTCTTGTCTGTTTATTCCTTCCCTGAGCCCTTCTGGGTCAAGGACCTCTGTGGTCCTGGCAGCCTAGCAAGTTGGAAGTGGTTGAGGGAGTTCTGGGACATGAAGGCACACAGGAAGAGGCCAAGGTCATGAATGACCATGAAGGGCTCTTGAAGAGTTTCTTCTTAGGCAGTGGGAGATGCTAAATATTTTTGAATGCATGGCAGAAGAAACTGAATAGTATTTCACCATGTGATCCCATTCATGGATATTTGACATTAATCTTCATGGGTTCTCGTGGGTCCTTACAGTTGGGAGATAGGGGAGGCCTCCACCAACTTGGAGGATACACGTCCAGTATTCCAAAGGGTTGGTTTGGTTTTATACGTAGTCACGTTGCTGTGTGTACACAGTTCTCCATAGCTGCTGGGAAAAGAATAAGCTATAGAGGTTTGGAGGAGAGCCAGGGTGTTTTGTCCTATGTGTGGGTTTCTCAAACATGGTTTGTAATCAGACTTGAAACTGACTCTAGAGGTTGAACGAGCACTGTTGCATATTGCATAGAGGGAGTGAGGGAGTGAGCTGTGTTTACCCCGTGCAGTTCTGACCCAAATGTGTGGGCTCTTACAACAGTCTGAAGATATCCACAGTGGATGGTGTCCAAAAGTTCCACTGAATTCTGAAAGTACCTGGCATTAGTGTCTCATTCTAAAGGTTTATGGACTCAGTCCCCAAGACAATACTGCCATCAGATGGCAGTCAAAGCACTGTGTATCCAGTGCACACACATTTCTGTACAACATGGGTTCATTATCACACTTTCACAACCTTACTCCTTCATTTTTGCTAATTTGCTAAATCAGTAGTGAGTCTCAGCAACATACTATAAATAGTTTATGATAACAGGACACAGTCCCATGCAACAGTTGCATAGGACAGTGTGTTGTAAGGGGTTGTGAGGAACTTGCATTCCACCACCTTTTTGTGTTCACCATCCCTGAAGGAAAGTAGGATTGTCCTCATTTCATATGCAAAGAATTGGATTCAGCTTCCTTGTGTCATTTCATTCATCAATGTTGCTGTGAAGCAGTTGAATAACTTGGAGTCAGGGGCTCAAGTTAGAGGCCAGTGATTCCAGGTAGAATTCCATCTTTAGTCTGCAAAGGGAGGACTGTGAGGTCCCCTTGGTGTGTTTTGGGCATGTAGCTGCCTTTCCTGAATGTGGCCTCCAGGTGCTCAGAAGAAGGATGAGTGACAGTGAGAAGCTGCAGAACTGGGGAGAGCAGGAGACCCTTGAGCAGATGCACTTGGAGGTTCTGGTCTTTGAGATGGTGCATGGTTGCCATAAAACTCCATTCTGGACATAGTTTTGGTGTTTCTGCAGTTAGAGGTGCACTGATCAATCTAAATGGAATATATTCAGATAACCTATGAAGGTCAGCCTTAGAGAAGCGTTCATTCATGTAGTGCCCTGGAGAAAGGGTTTATGAATTTGACAACTTAAGTGAAACCACAAGTGACTCCAGATGAGGGTTCCCTGTTGTGAATGTTAAGATTTTAAAGGACACTGGAAGGAGGGGACACAGCTAGACGTGATGGCTCCTAGGGTGATATTCTTATGTGCCCCTGCCTCACCCCAGGGGTGGTTTACTCCAGTGATGTAGTTCAGGAGTCAGTCTAGTCTTGTATGTATGTATATATTATTTTTTAATTTGTTTTTGGCACTGGGAATCAAATTCAATGTGTTGTGCTGGCAAGGCAGGCACTCCACAACTTGAGCCACTTGAGTTTAATCTTCTGAATTAAATGAGGATTTCCTTCTGGTTTCCACTGTAACTTGGATGCAGAGGCTGCCTGTGTGAGCTGGTTCAAGTTTACTTATCTTTGTAGAATACTGGTTCTATAGACCTGTTTCCCCATGCACTGGGTAATTACAGGCCCTTGTGGGTTTTTCTTTTCTTTTCTTTTTTTCTTGGCTGAAAATAGGTAAATCATTAGAAAACGTGTTGACAAAGCCTTGGCCATAACCACTGCCTCAAGTTCCATTCCTCAAGCGTGACTTGAGCACTTACCTCTTGCTCCAGCGAGGCCCGTCCTGGCTTAGGCTGCCTTTTTCCTCTGTAGTCAGGGATGTCCCCACTGAAGGCACTTCAGAAGGTTAATGCAGTAAGAGCCTAGCTAATTCAGGAAGAAGCAGGTGGCCGCTCTGGAGAGCCACGACACAGGTCTCATTCAATGACTTTTCCCTCAGGTGAGACCAGGGCGGTGCCCACAAGAAAGCGTGGGTTTCGAGGCGCAGAGCTGGAACGGGTCCTTCCGCCTCCTCGCCACCAGGTAGGCATCGCTTCTCCTGTCACTCAGCTTGAGCAGTAGCCAATCAGAGCCTTAGGAGTCGTCCAATCAGGAGGGCGGAAGGGAGAAAGGCCCGCCCCTCCCCCGTAAGCTTCCTTTCCGCCGCCATAGCTACGCTGCTGACCTGGTACGTGTGAGGTGTTCCGCCCTCCAGTTCCTGTCGCTGTGTGACGCTGACCCCAGGAGCAGGAGTGGACAGCAGGACACCGGCAGTCAGGAATGGTGAGCGTGGGGCGGATTTGTGACACGGGCGAGGAGGGGTTGAGAGCGACTGGGCCCCGCGTGAGCCCCGGAGTCTGCGGCAGAGTCGCCGCCGGCGCCGCTCCGCTCGTCCCCTCGGTCCCCGGGCGGGGCGGGGCCGCAGCCGGGACCCCAAGTTCCTGTCCCTTGTCCCCGCCGGAGCCCCCTGTCCCTCCGCGCCCGCAGCCCCGCGTCTCCCCACAGCGCGGTGCCGGCGGAGGTGGCGGGAGGCTCCCGAGTGGCCGCGGGGTCCCCGTCCCCATCCCGGCGCAGACCTGAGCGCCCCGAGTTTCCTGATGGTGGAAGCGGCGTCTCCACCGCCACCTGGTGCTGGGCCCGGGCTTCTGATAACCGGGGTTTGAGCTCGGGTCTTCCTGCTTGCGAGGCACCCACTTGCAAAGCAGGTGCTCCACCACTTGAGCTCCACCTCCAGTCCATTCTACCCTGGTTAATTTGGAGATGGGGTCTCAAAAACTATTTGCTTGGGGCTGGCTTCTCATGTAGCTGGGATTACAGGTGTGAGCTACTGGGTTCCAGCGTGAAGCATTTGTCTTTATTACCGTCCATTGTCCACACAGGAATGGTCATTTATTATTGCCACCTGTTGTTGACCAGCATCTCTGTAAGATTATGTATTGCTTTGCACTAATTACCACTGGAGTTGAGCACTCATCCTTTGTGAACTTTTCATTTGACTTGAAATCAGTTTTTGCTGGGTGGCAGGAAGGGCGATAATGAGTGCTACAGTGAAACAAAAAAGACCCTGGAGTTGAGGAATGTCAAGTAGCTCCTGGGGCTGCACCAGAGAAAGGGTCACCTCGCCCCAGAGATTAAAGTGGCCATGAAGTGGCATATGGCCATGTACAGGACAAGCTGTACACCCCCACCCCCCAAATCCTGTAACCTGCTCTAAATGGTATATAAGGAAGGACCATTTGTTCTCCAGGCTCAGCCTTTTAAGTCCTGCTGAGTCGCTGCCTCCTTGCTTAATAAACTTGCTTCCCAAAAGCCTTGGTGCCCCGTCTGTCTGTCTTAGCCATCCTAGGACAGTTGTACTTGTTTTTGTTTTTATCTGTGTGACTGCAGTTGGGCTTCCCTCTTACACATAGCTTCTGTACAATTTGAGCCACACCTCCACTCTCCTTGAAATTGTTTCTCTTTTTTCTTTAATTTTTTTGTTTGATTTTGGTGCTTATGGAGTAGGGTTTTCATTGCAAATCAAATTGATCATTTTCTTTTGGTTTTTTTTGGTGGTACTGGGGTTTGAACTTGGAGCCTCATGCTTTCTAGGCAGGAACTCTGCCACTTGAGCCACTCCACCAACCAATTGTTCATTATCCATATATGAGAAAATGAAAGTTTTTTTACATTCTTATACCACCACTCCTGGTGCAAGTTTTTGTACATTGTTCCTTTCTGGAAATTGGTTCATTTCAGCCATGTTATTAAATTTGAGGGAATGAAATCGTTCAGTGGTCCTCCGTGTCCATGGGATTAGCGTGGATGGCCCAGTTTTCTACTGATAATGATAAATGGTGTGTTCCCTCCTTTTTTTCTTGTGTTTGGCTAGCTGAGGTTTATCAGTTTCGGTGATCTTTTTCACAGGACCAGCTTTTGGTTTTGCTGATGTCTTGTGTGGGTTTGCTGTTTGTTATTGGGTCCACACCTTCTCTAATGCCCATTTTCTGAGTATGGTTTGGGATTTTCACGATGTTCCTCTATTTTCAACAGTATAAGATTTGATTCTTGTGTTTAGACCTTCTTTTATATTGATCCATTCATTTCCTTAAATTTCTCCCTAAGAGCTGAATTTTGTACATTCCACACATTTTGATAAGATGTATTTCATTTCCATGTCTTCTGAAACATTTAAATTCCTGTTCAGACTTCTGACACATGTAATAGGAATTTAGTTGAATTTGCAGTTATTTCAAGATTCTCCCACTGTGTGTCTGCCTGTGATTTCTACTTTAGTTCCAGTATAGTCTATGAGCATACTTCCTGTGGTTTCTATCTATAACCCAGGTTTGTTTTATAGCTTGGAATATGAGGTATGTTGGTGAATGTTCCATTTGTCTTGAGAAGAATGTGCCTTGTTTAGTTGTTAGAGGGAACATTCTGCAGTGTCATATGTCTCCAGCTGATGGGTGATACTTTTGTGTCAACTCTATCAGGACTGAAATTCTTCCTTTACCAAAGGAAAGAAGTCTGTCCATTACTAATTGGATTGTGTGGAAGTCCTCAAATAGAATCATGGCTGTGGATGTTCCTTGCAGTCCTAGACGTGTTTTGCTGATGTGATTGGCGCTCAATTTAGGGGTGCATGTACTCGTGATTGTTGTGTCTTCACAGAGCATTCACTGCCTCAGTGTTAGTTGATCCCTATTTTCCTTGTCATTTTCAGTGAGCTACTTCCTGATTAGTCTGAAATTGATACAGCATCTGCAGCTTTCTTTCTGTCAATGTAGAAGTGTATGTGTCTGCATAAAATTGCATTGAACTTATTTTAATAGGTATGATTATCTTAATTGAAAATAGTTACATACTTTCCTGTTGATAAATTTAAATACATTACAAATGCAAACATGATCTTTGGAAATAGGCATGCTTGCTGCCTGGATAAATTGAGATAATGAACACATACATTACATCATACATTTACTTTCTGTGGTGATAATACTCAAAATCTACTTCCATACTGATTTTCCAGAGTATAAAACATAGTTATTAACAATCACCACTTTCACAGATTTATTGAATTTATATCTAGTATCCAACAGAAATTTCTAAGTCTTTGATCAATGCCTCCCTACTCTCCTTTCTGTCTTTGTATTCAAAATGGTTTTTCTTACAGACAAGAAAGTTGGGTCTTACTTTTTAATATTGTCTGTCTTATATTTTAGTGCTTATTAATTATGCAGAACAGTGGATTTCACTGTGACTTTTTCACACATGCATATAACATGCTTTGTTCACATCTGTCACAGCCTTCCTTCCCTTCCCCCTTCCCCAGCCTCTTCCTTTTCTCTGACACTCTCCTTCTTTCCTGTCATCCTTCTCCCATACGTTGCACATACACAACACTTGTCCTTGGGGGTCTGCCTTGTGCTTGATGTGATGACTCCCATTTCCATTCATTTGCCTGCAAGTGATAGGTTTTCATTCTTTTTGCCTGAATAATATTCCACTGTCTATACAGCACATTTTCCTAATCCATGCATGCATCCATTGATGGGCAGCTAGTCTAATTCCATAGTTGGGCTGGTGTGAGTTGTGAGCACCACAAGCATGGGTGTGCATCCAGGTGTGTCCTGTATGCTGACTCGGATTCCTTCAGCGGTACCAGATGGTACAGCTTGATTCACTATCTTTTAATTACTACATTTAGATTACTCACATTTAGGGCTAGAGGTGTGGCTCAGGTGGTAGAGTGCTCGCCTAACAAGCATGAGGCCCTGAGTTCAAACCCTGGTACTACCAAAAAAAAAAAAACCACACAGAATAGGTTATTGACATTTAAAGTGATTATTGATATAATTGGATTAATTTCTGCCATATTCTAATTATTTTCTATCTTTGTTCCTTTTGCCTTTTCATTTTCTTCCATTTTCTTTTTCCAGATTTTTAAGACAAGGTCTCACTCGTGGCTCGGCCTAACCCACTTTCCTTTATGTGATCCAAGTTCACACCCTATATCATTTTCTTCCAATGAAGAAATAGCTTTAACAATTCCTACAAGGCAGATTTGCTCATGACCCATGGTGTCAATTTCATCCTTATTTTCCTCCAACCTGTATAATTTCAAGTATTTTGTTTTCATGTTAACTGGTTCTTTCTTCTGCTTGCGTAAATGTGCCTTTAGACACTGCAATGGTTTGTATGTGCTTTGAGTGTATCCCCAAGGGTTCAGGTGTTGGGAATTTGAGCCACAATGTGGAGGTGCTGAAAGAGGGTGAGGCCTTTTAGAGGTAGGACCAGTGGGAGGGATCTGAAGACCGGCCCTTCTCTCCTTCTCTGGTTTGTTAGGAGGTCATGTGATCACTTCCTCTGTCACAGTGCTGCCATGGTGCTGTCTGCCAGGCAGTCCTCGGCAGATCCCAGCTGATGCCAGTGCCGTGCCTTGAACCTCCACAGCTGTGAGCTAAGTAAACCTCTGTTGTTTAGGAAGTTCCCATTTCATGTCTTCTATGCTGGGGAAAAATGTAGTATGTGGTTCACATTTGTTGTCAATGTGACGGGGTTGAGCGATGCCTACAGCAGTAGTAGGGCACACCTTAGGGGTTTCTGGAAAGGCATGTCCAGAGAGGATTGGCCCCTGAGGGTTCTGACCAAATTAATGGATTCATCATCTCCTTGGATCCTTTGAATTCTTTATTGACATTATTTTAATCACACATCCTTTTCCTAGTTTCCTTTTGTTCTTTCATTCTGTCTGTACCTATTTGGCATTAAGACACTTGTTTTGGAGACATTGTCTAGTAGCTCAGTGTCTAAGGCTTCTTACAGATGGCATGTTAGCTGGGTGCCATGTTTACCTCTGCAATCCTGGCTACTTGGGAGACTGAGACAGAGATGATCACAGTTCAAGGCCAGCCCAGACAAATAGATCTCATGACCCCATCTCCAAAATAAGCAGAGCGAAAGGGACTAGAGACATGGTTAAAGTGATAGGGTGCCTTCTTTGCAAACAGGATGCCCTGAATTCAAACCCCACTCCCACCAAAAAAAGAAAAAAAGATGGCATAGTATTATTATTATTATATTTTTTGACAATATTGACATTTGAACTCAAGGCCTCATGCTTCCTAAGTAGACCCTCAACAGCTTGAGCCACTTACCAGCCCTTAATACCATGGGTATTTTCCAGATAGGGTCTCTAACTATTTGCCTAGGCTGGCTTGTGATCCTTCTGATCTCTGCCTCCTGAGTAAGGATTATAGGCATGAGTTACTGGTGCCTGGCAAGTATTAATGAGCCATGTCTTCCTAGTTCTCTGTATTGTGTGATTTTTGTCCTTCTAATGGAAAAGTACTCTTCTTGGTGAAAACTGGTATTTCTGGAGGTAATTTTTCAGATTAGTTGGAAATTCTTCATACTTGCCTGCTGAAGATTTTACCTTTCTAACCTAGCAAATAGATTTATCCTTCAGCAACTAATCAGTTGCAGTTTCGGCTTTCATACCCCTGCTGCTTTTTATAGAAGTGTCTCCAGGTAGATTTCATGCAGCAAGTTATAGTTCTCTCAGTATTAAGAGTGCTGGGATTTCCCCCAAATCCAATTGCCTGGTGCCACCAGAGGTCACACATTGTGAAAAGCTGTCCTCATGCCACACAGTCTGAGACTGGCTGTTAACTCCTTCAGCACACTGGACAGTGGGACTTTATCACAGGTGCCACAGATTTGTATGGAAAGAGATGTTAATGGTGATGGGCTGTGCATGTTACCACTTATACTGACAAATGAGAGACAGGCTCCTCCTACTAGGTTGTGGCTTTACTGCACAGTTAAAGTCACAACTGCAGAGTAAGAGCGTGTGTGGGGGCTGAGTCTGATTGCCAAGTCCCAGGAAGGATACCTGTGTGGAGTCTACAGCATCATTGACCCTCCAGTGACCAGTGCTGTCAGTCTCATCCTGCTTCATGGTAACATGTGGAATGTTTCAGGCTCCAGTGACCTTTGAGGATGTGGCTGTGAACTTCAATGTGGAGGAGTGGGCCTTGCTGGATCGTTCCCAGAAGCAACTCTACAGAGAAGTGATGCTGGAAACCTTCAGGAACCTGTCTTTTATAGGTAATCATGGTATCATTGCTTTACTTCATGAGTTAGAGCACAGTGTTTCTTGGTTGTCAGCCCTGCCCAGCGATTTGGAAAATGGTAAGCATCCATGGTGTGGCATAAGTGAAGCATGGCTGTGGTGTACCATGAACAGAATCTAATGATCATTGTATAATTTTACAGTCATTCAAGGTGGTTTTTCTGTGTCTAAATTTTAGGAATAAAATGGGAACACCAGAACATTGAAGAACAGAAGAAAAATCTGCAGAGAAATGTCAGGTAATTCACACTCACAAGGAATAGCAGTGTCACTGAAGAGAATCATTGTATATCAGGAACTTTTAAAAACAAGCACAGTAAACTAAGAAGCCAAATACAAATTTGTTTATTCTTGGAAAATTTCATCTAAAATGTATACGTATATGTTCAGAGTTTGCAAAATACTTCACTTGGAAATTGTATTAAGACAACATAGATGAAAGCTGGGCACAGTGGCTCACACCTGCAAGCCTGGCTACTCGGGAGGCAGGGATTGGGAGGATTGTGATTGTAGGCCATTCCAGATGAAAAGTTAGCAAGATCCCATCTCAACCAGTATCTGGGCATTGTGGCACACACCTGTCTTCCTAGGTAAGCGGGAAACATAATAGGATCACAGTTCCAGTCATCCTGGACAAAAAGCAAGACCCTATCCCAAAAATAACAAAAACAAAAATGACTGGGGATGTGGCCCAAGTGGTAGAGGACCAGCTCAACAAGCTCAAGGCCCTGAATTTAAACCTGAGTACTGGCCCCCAAAAAGAAAGAAAATCATAAAAGAGAGACAGCTCAGATGACTATCACTGTTTTGATATTAACCAACTGAGCTTGGCCCTGGTGTCTTATGTCTATAATCCTCGCTGCTTGGAAGACTGAGATCCAGAAGGCCATGGTAGAAGGCCAGCCCAGGAAAATAGTTCTCAAGATCCCATCTCCAAAATAACTAGAACAAAATACATTGGTGGTGTGGCTCAAGTGGTAGAGCACCTGCTTTATAAGTAGAAAACTCTTGAGTTCAAACTCCAGTCCCACCATAAAATAAAAAATAAAAGATAATAACCATATGCCTGATCATCTTGCAGAGAATTGAGTCCACTTCTGTTCAAACAACTTGAAGAGGGCGTAAAGCCCACACTTTCCAATATTAAAAATGGAAATCCTGTCATCCTCAATGTCTGTGTAGAGATGACCCACATTTAGTCTAGTGAAAGTGTATTCCTTTCCTAAGAAACTTTACTATCAGTTTTGCTACTTTTCCACATCTTTCCTGAATTCTTCTCTTACCAGAAACAAGGACCGAGGTCTGCCTCTGCTATCATAGTCGTCCATATTTCTTGAAGAGCGTGAGAAAATGAATACATTCCTGGTATAACATGATTCTGGTGTCTTCCCACACTCGCTCACTCCCATGCAGAGGGGGTGGTGTACACCCCTAATCATAACGCCTAGGAGGCCAGGTATGAGGAGCAGGAATGTGACACTGGTCTGAGGTACAAAGTTGCCAGAGGGATCGTTCCATCCCTTCCTGGGAATCCTTTCAGGAGGCATTTGGTAACTTAAAATGCATTCAGTCCTCAAAATGTAAATCCAGTAGCCCACCATAAAGAGAAAGCTGTTATAAACAAGCCCTTAATGTGTTTTCACATTTTTTTTTAACAGAAGTCAAGTGGTGGAGAGAGTCTGTGAAGGTAAAGAAGGAAGTGAGTGTGGAGAAACCTTCAGCCAGAATCAAGAATGTATAATGAAGAAAACTCCTTGTACACTAAAACATCCTGAACCCCGTATGTGTGGAAAAGTGGCCACTGTTCATTCATCCCTTAAGAGACACAGTAGATCTGATTCCAAACACCAACTATGTGACTTTCAGGAAAATGGGTATAGCCGCTATGACTGCCAGAAATGTGATAGAACCTTTAGGTGTCCCAGTAGTCTTCAAAGACATGAAAGGATTCATACTGGAAAGAAAGTCTATGAATGTAAGCAATGTGGGAAAGCCTTCAGTTCTCGCTACTGGGCTGAGAGACACATGGTGACTCACAGTGGAGATCGGCCTTACAAATGTAAGCTATGTGGGAAAGGATTTCCTTATCCCAATTCCCTTCGGACTCATGAAACACTTCACTCTGAAGAAAAACCCTATAAGTGTAAGCAATGTGGGAAAGCTTTCAGGAAAAATTTTTCCTTTCTACTACATGAAAGAATCCACACTGGAGAGAGACCCTATGAATGTAAGCAGTGTGGGAAAGCTTTCAGGGATCGTTGTTCCTTTCTGTTACATGAAAGAAGTCACACTGGAGAGAGACCCTATGAATGTAAGCAGTGTGGTAAGGCCTTCGCCCATTCCAGTCATCTTCAAGCACATGAAAGAATCCACAGTGGAGTAAGACCCTATGAATGTAAGCAGTGTGGTAAATCATTCACTTTTCACCACAGTGCTCGACGACATATGGTGACTCACAGTGGAGACTGGCCTTATAAATGTAAGGTGTGTGGGAAAGGATTTCCTCACGCTTATTCCCTTCGAATTCATGAAGTAGCTCACATCGAGAAAAACCCTATGAATGTAAACAATGTGGGAAAACCTTCAAACACTCTAAATCCTATCAAAATCACCAAACATCTCACACTGGAGAGAAACCTTATGAATGTACGATATGTGGGAAAGCCTTCAGCTGTTCCAGTTACATTCAAGATCATATGAGAACCCATGGAGCGAAGTCCTATGAATGTAGTGAATGTGGGAAAACGTTCACTTACGCCAAAAGTCTTCGAAGACACATGAGGACTCACAGTGGTGTGTAAGTGATGTGAGGTACTTACAGGTGTTCCAGTTCCTTGTATAAATATGGAAGGACTCCCAGTGGAGAATAAGCAAATGAGTGTGAACTGTGTGGTAAAGTCTTCAATCATTTCAGTCATAAGTACATAAAGGGATTTATATTTAACTGCAGCCTGTGAATTTAAACAGTGTTGGAGACAGTCCATTGCCATTCCTTTCAGAAGCTTTGAAGACTCTTGGTGGAGACAAATCCTGCACAGGCAACGTGGGAGGGCTTGACCACCCAACCTTGCTAACACCTGTGGGAAGGCATGGTGGAGAGCAAGCCTATGACTAAGCAGTGCAGGAGAGCTTTTAGTCCCCCACATTCAATTGGAAGCCATGAAAGCACACACAGGAGAGAAACCTTGTATGTCAACACTGTGTAAAGTCTCCAGTTGGCCCACAGCTTTGCAACAACATGGAAATCTGCACACTGAGTCCAAATCCTTACATGGGAGAAGCACTTGAAGGTTTTCCAGATTCACAAATACTTCCACAGTTATGTGGAGAAATCCTGTAAATCTAGAGAGCATGAAACCCTTGGTGCAGATTCCTCCACCTGCATGTTTCCCCGATGTCACAATTGCAGAGATGTAGTCAAAGTTATGCCGTCCTTCTAGTGGCTCATTTTTAATGTGCATCACTGAGTTATGGATTGCTAATTCTCACTTTCACAAAGGTTGAGTGTGATGATGCTGAGGTATTCCTTAAGTAATAGTGCATGAGTTAATTTTGAAATTGTTTTCATTTACTTATTTTTAGAGGTGACATTTACTATAATGCCCATACTGGTCCAGAAGTTCTAGGTGCAATCACTGTTCCTGCCTCAGCCTCCTGAGTAGTTGGGTCTATAGGTGCCCACTGCCATGCCTGGGGAGTTCATGAGTTTCATAGGAGTGCTTTTGTCTCTCTGTCTCCCTCTCTTTTTTTATTTTTCTTCAAGTCTCCCCATTCACAATACAGAGCAGGCATAGCTGAGGATAGAATAAGGCTTCGTGTGTGCTCAGCAAACCACCTGACAAAATTGCCCTTTCAACCCCAAGGTTTTTGTTTGTTTTTTTTTTTTTTAATATATTTGAATTGATACTTTTCATGACATAGTCACAGTTTTTATCATGATAGTAAGTCCTTTTCTGATCGTACCAAAAGCTGACAGCTTCTGGCTGCCCTCCTTCAGTGTCCACCAGGATGGCGTGTTGTCAAAGCACACATGAAACTTGGAGGGCTAAATCTGCCTGAAAGCTTAAGGAGCTGCGATGTGCCAGGAAGAGGCTCCCAGCAGAACTTCTAAGGACTTGTGTGGCTTCAGCTTACTGACTGACCATCAGGGGAGCAGATGCTTCTCTGTAGTGGTGCTGGGAGCAGGTGGAGCAGCTGTTCTGTCCTTGGTGGTCATGATGGTTTTTACCTAGAAGTCAGAAAGAACGGCTGTATTTCAAGCTCATCTCTAAGAAGCATCAGTGAGACCTGCTAATGAAAAGAAGGGAACATTTGTCATTTTAACCTTGTTGTTCTTTACCATGTTTAGACAGTGCCATCGTCTTCTCCTTGTGATGAGGTGAGACAGCTGCAGTACTTTGGACCTGTTTTGCCATTCTTATTATCTGAACACTGCAATATTTCCCAGAGTGTATCAGAGACTGTTTTCCATGAAATATGTAAGTTAAAATGTCTTTAGACCCTTGTTCCATAATAAGATTCAAAATACTTAATAAAAAATCTCTTATGATTCAAATGAGTCCCATCTTTAAGGTAAATTATTGACACAGTAACAAACCTAGCAAGGAACAGAAACGTCACTATTTCCATAAGGTCTACCTCACCAGATAAAGTATTAGTGATGCTAATTTGTCACCATCCCTCGTGCTGAAGTTGCAGACTCAAGTCAGCAAGGGTTCACACAGAAGCCGGGCACTCAGAGCTCTCAAACATGTAACAAAGTCTTCAGTCCTTACATTTTTATGAGGAAAGACAGATGGGTACCAAATGAGAAAGCTCGTGTGTACAATGGGAATAAGGGCTGTGAAGTCAGGCAATCACAAAATGCGACACAATAGTGAAACGGAGAGCGATGCTGCTGGCTCTGATGCAATCTCCAGCAGTACCTTGAGTGAGTGGTCTAGTGGGGCAGGGGCAGCCTGTCTACCTAAATTTGTACACTGGGACCACGGGACCATCTTTGCAGCAGCAGAAGGGAGAAACTGCAGAGCACCAGCCTACAAGCTGGCAATAAGAAGAAGCTTGGTGGTTTTTCTCAGCAGTCCCCACCTGCAGCAAGAATGTTGAGAACAGAGGTGACAAAACCAAGAAGCAGAGGTTTTAAATGCATAGTCTGGGAACAGTGAACTGGAAAGGGGGAATAAAGGGGGAGCTAAACAGCAATAAAAAGGGAAACTGAAAGCACTCAGCCATCCAGTCCAGCTTCTTGGCTCTTCAAATAGCCTTTACTTTCGCTTTATGGCAATAAGGATTCCTTTGCTCCTACTTTGCCAGTATTCCTTGCTTTAATTCTTTAAGGCAGTAGAGAACAAGAACCCACAGTAGCTGAGCACCTTGAAGTTGTGCATCAATAGGGAAACTGGGGATGTGGTTGTATCTGCTAGGAGCATCGGGACACTCATTTGTGATAGTGCCATCATTGACCATTTCTGTTTCCACTTCTATCTGTGGCAGTGTTTCAGGACTGGGCAAGGAAGATGTAGAGAGGGGAGTGACAGCCCTGCCTTCCTGTGAAGATAAAAATGGAGGTGTGAGTCATCTTAGTTTTGCACAGGTCCAAAGTGTTCGAGTATGGCAAATGTTACAAGAATGACATACATTTCAGCCCTGAGACTTGTTGCACTGGGTCACAGGTATTTGCTTTGTTTCTGTATCTGTTCAGCAGCCTTTGAAGTGGTTTTAAACTCCCATTCATGTTTGGTACTGACATTTTGCTGCTGTTAGTGTGGCTGACACAATGGCACCCCCTTGAAACTGTGAATATCATAATGATTTGCACAGTGCTATTCCATAGTTGGATTTCCCCATGAAATGCATGGTGTCACTGGTTTCCTGCTTGAATGAAGAAAAGGAGCTCTGGGTGTCTCAGACATCCATAGAACATCAGTGATATTGGAGCTAAGAATATAGTGATTTTGAAGATTTTCCCAGGAATAATTGATGTGAGCCATAGACATCTTACATTTTGAGGAATATCCTAACTTAGTAGAAAGGAGGTGGATTTGACTCCCTCAAATATTTCTTGAGCACTTGATCTAGGTCAGTGTGTGGCTGCTGGTAAAACAATGTCAAATAAGCCAAGTCCCTGTGAACCTCTGCGTGTGGCTTCATTGGGTTTTCTCCACAGGACCCACACATTGCTGGGTTTCTGCACTAATTTGACCCAGAGGATGATCAATAAATATAGTTCAAGTTGTCTCATCTCCCAAGCATGCATGAGCCCCTGCTGTGCACAGAGCTCAGGATGCAGGGATCAGACCTGTCCCTCCCTCAAATATGTCTCCACCTACTTCCTCCTCTGCCCCCTGCTCCTGAGGTAGGGAGTGTGTGGCCATTTCCCCTCGTGTCTTCAGTCTGGTCCCACATACACGAAATGGGACAGAAACTCTTATGCTTATGGTAATCTAGTTGTGGATGGATTCCCTTTTGTTTTTTTTATCCTGATGGATTTCAGGGAGTCTGTGTTAGTCAGTGTTCTGTCTCTGTGACAAAATACCTGAGACATTCAGCCTCTAAGGAAAAAAGTTCCTTGGGCTCAAGTTGTAGAGGTTTTGGTCCACGATCCACTGACTTCATTAATGTTGGGACTGTGACAAGCCCACGCATCGGGGCGGCAGTGTGTGACCAAGGAAGCCGCACACTCGTGGCATTCAGGAATCAAAAAAGGGAGGAAGGGGAAGGGGAGGTCCTTATAGCCCCTTCCAGGCCATGTCCCCAAGACCTAACTTTCTCCCACCAGGCTCTGCCTCTTAAAGGTTCCACTACCTCCCATGAGCGTCACTGGCTAGTGCTGAAGTCTTTAGCATGGACTTTCAGGGGACACTTATCCAAACTGTAGCAGAGGAAGGCGATGTGTCTCCCAGGATCTGTCACCTGTCTCTGGCATTTGTCTTGCAATATCTCAATGGCACACACACTTTCCTGAGACATCTTAGAAGAGAATCTAAATTTCCCTCAGCGTTCATCTAGAACATCCTAGGTGTGCCATAAGGATTTCTAGGATAAGTTTCTTAGCAGGGATTAGAAGTGATAAGGAAACCCAGAGGATATCAAAGCTGGGAAAAGAACCAAAGATGAGTAAAGCCCTTCCACTTAGCCAGAGCCCCTGCATCCAGCTATCTCCTTAGAAACTGCGGATGGCCTTCATCCCCAGCTGTGCTGACATGATATACTGGAACCTTGAACAGCTAACTGTCGTGTCTGCTTCTGCACTCCCCGCTTGCTTGCTGCAGCTTTTCTCAGTATAAAAACCTCAGCCACCCTGAGCTCGGGGCCTGCGCCATTTTGGAGATATTCAGGAGCTGGTCTGCTAGCATAATAAACCTTCCTTTCCTCCAACCGCCTGGGCTTGAGTCTTATTCTCGCTGGTCAGTCATCCTGTCTGTAACATTTTCTTCAACACCAGTACAGGCCCAGCAGACTCTTGTCCAAAGACTGAGCCCCATGAACAAAGGGGTCTCACCTTATATACCCTTGCAAGCAGGTTACAGAATCAAAAAGCAAAGTCTAATCCATATATGGTTATATTTAATTTTATTGGCTACCTTATCTTAGTGCTTGCGACTTCCCTCCCTAGTGCTATGTGACCTTCCTCATGTTCAGATTTCTCAGGTTTTATCTCTCTGCTATGACATCACTACCTCCTGCTACTTTCTCAGGACTCAGGCTTAGACTGTTTTCTTCTGATCCTCCTCCATGCTTCATTATTCCCCACTTTGATACTCAGACCCACTTACAGTCAAAGAGAATCATCTTTATTTAGGGATTTGTGTTTTTATGACATCATTACAGGCCATTTGTCATCTTTTTCCCAAGCCCAAAGCTCTCCCATGTTGGTCTCCCCCACAAACATAGCATGAAGTGACATTTAGTGTCTGTGCTATAGACTCAGCCAGTGAGACGAACTCTCATGGGTAACAGTTGCTAATTTGAGGTGTATTAGAGTCTCAGGGTCAAGATCCTTTTAATCTATTTTTGTATTAATTGCTTTTCTCTGTGTGTAATCAGATGGCTTAAGTACAGTGAAATTTACAGGGTTACAGGTGACACAAGTGCAGTTAGGGGCAGCTTTCCCCTTGTAAAAGAGGGCTGCTTATTTAGCCCTCTGTTAAAACAGATAATTAACAATAAACAGTAATTATGCATCCTGCAAAAGAGATAGAAGAGAGTTAATAAAAACCTTTCACTGTGAGATCAATCAGCCAGGGCGGTATCTTCCAATCCTGTGGCAAAGACTAGGGTGAGAACTACAGCAGCAGATACAGAGAAGGGGCAACAAAGCATTACACTGAGATAACTGGAGTGAAAAACAATCCATTTGTCCTGTTGGAAAGTTCAGTCCTCAAGCTTTGCCATGCATAGACTAGTAAACTTCCATTGGTGAGTAGTGCAGGGCTGTTCTTTCGTTGTTTGTGGTCCACTGCTGCTTCCTGGGAAGTGGAGTCCTGCCAGGGGAAGGTGCTTAGGTACTGGAGGGTGACCCTGCATGGTTAAGCTGGATCAGGGATGCACTTCCACTCGAGAGAGGCTGGCTTGACTCAACTGTGGTGGATTCAAGGAGCAATCACTGCTACTTTAGCTCAGATGGGAGTAGAGAAGGTAATAACAAAAGGGCCCTTCCAATGGGGTTTTGATGGTTGGATGTTTTAGTTTTTATTTTTTATCTAGACAGTATTTTTTTTAGTAAAATTACCTTGGCAACAATATACTGTTAGTATACATGTCCAAGAAAACTCATTGTTTAAAATAACATTAAAACCACCATTTTAAGTATTAAAGAACATGTTTAGAGCCAGTGAAAGTAGTTATTTTGTTTATATTTAAGTAGAAGACCCTGTCTAAAATTATGAGTTTGTGTCTGGAAGGGCTTTAATGCCAGATAGCCACATGTGCATAAGAACCATTTCTTTAATCCACTCAGCCTTGGTTATTTTTGAGAGGTCTGGCACCAGTGACTCCATTTGAACTTTGATGGCATTCCCCCTTTGTCTCCAAACTGTTTGTCTCTGAGCAGTCTATTCTGAAGATCTGTCTTCCATCCATGTACTCACCAGGCCCAACCCTACTTAGCTTCAAATCCAGATGAGACAGGGCGTGTTCAGGGTGGTATGGCTGTAGACTGAAGATCTTTCTTGATTGGTCGCTCTTTTCTGGATTTTGTTTGTTTATTTGATTTGGGTCCCATGTCAGGGGCAGGGAGGAATAATGAGCAGATCAGGTGGGAGTCAGTGCCAAGTAGACCCTTCTGGCCAAATTTAAGCAACAAAGAGTCTTAGAAGAAGTGGCTCTTAGGCAGCGGGTTTTTAGACAAAGACAATACAAAACACAATCTAACAAAAGCAGATGTCTAAAAAGCTAACATGGGTAACACAAAAGTAGTTATTAGAGCCACTTTTTATGGATTTGATTGTAAATGCCCCCAGAAGGATCAGAACTATAATGACAAAAACTCAAAAGAGCCACTGGTAACATTTTGATAAATAATTTAGCAACTAACAGAACAGTGTAGGTATTTTTCTAGTTGTGGCACCTTAGGATAACAATTCTGGCTGCAGCAGTAATGTCAGCATCACTAATTTCTCCTTGTTGTGGTTAGGAACACAGGTATAATTTGAGGGCACCACTTTGGTACAGTGTTTATCTAAACTTTTGATGCATGGATGACACGCACAGGAATTTCACGTGCTCAGGGTTCTTGAGCCCGCTCTGAGAATGAAAGCACAGGTGGACTCCAGCAG